CTCGCCTACCAAGCTCTCCTAGACCAATTTTAAGGCAGGTCTCCATTTCCTGCACTACAATGTCTGGTGTGGAAAGTGCCAGCATACCCAGAACGATGATAGCTCCTCGGCGCTGGTTCTTGGAGATGTCTTTCTTCTGGTAGCCATAGATCTGCCAGAGCTTCTGAATGACTAATCCATTGACCAGGCCCTGCTTCATCATCGTACTGAGAAGCTGCTCGAGGGACGTCAATTCTGCTGGCGTTGTACCGAAAGTCAAACTGATCATGTTCTTTGAAATGTAGTTTGCAACCGCGTTGTCATCGAAACCGGGCGGTGCGTCAAAGAACAAGCCTTTGTAGCATTCAAGCAGATGAGTCTGCACACCCTTGCCTTCGTCACTGTTGCCTTTGGTCCAGATGAGTCGTAGCATTCTCCGGATACCAAGCTTTGCATTTGCAATCTTGTACGCATCGATGGTGGTGAAGAAGTCCATGGCTTCGATGACCTCGCTCTTGTTCTTGGATGACAATAACTGAGTTATGATCTCAGCAGCATCGTTGATGACTTCAATGAACTTGAGTGCTTCTAGCAGGAACTTGCGTACTGCTTGGAATTTTTCCAGCTCTTGTGCCGTGGCTGCATCTTTCTGAGCTTTTTCGATGGCGGCAGCCTTCTCCTCTTCGCTCATCTCAGATGGATGCTTCGGTCCTTCCTCATCCCCAACATCAGCCTGTGTTGCATCCTGCAGCAGTGTCTCATCGACCGTCTGATCACTCGGTGGGCGTTCCCTCAACTCTTCTGGAGGCTGCAGGGCATTGATTTGGGCTTCACATTCTTCCAATCGCTTAGTCCAGTCCTTTGTCGACAGCAATCCTCCATCAAACGCCGTGAAGGGATGGGTTGAGATGAGTTTGGCAAGTAGCTTAATCGCATTTCGGCGAACGTTGCTACTTTTGTCTTCAAGACTGCGAGCAGCAAGTTCGGCGACCTTTTGTCTGCGCTTGGGGTACTTCTGCTCTAGATCACAAAGTTTAACGTAAACCTGCATTACCCTAGCACGACAATAGGGGTTAATGTCGAGGAAGCGGTCTTCCAGCACATCGAAGAAAATTCGTATCTGCGCCTTGTGGTTTTCGCTGCGGTCGTCTTGACTCAGCTTGCTAAGCATAGTTATGAGGTTTCCGCAGACTTCGATAAGGGCGCAGCGCAAGGTATACGACTCGCTATCTAGCAGGTTTGCAAGCAGTGTCATTTGTCGGATGACAAGATGTGGTGTGAGTTCAGAAATCTTGGTAAGGAAAGTCGAGATAGACTTTGGACCTTTGAGATCGGTGGAACTAAACTCCTTGCTGCTGATGTCTTTCAAGACGTCTTCGGTTAGTTGTGGATAATCAAACGCATCTGCAAGTGTGAAGAGAAACTCCGCCATAGGCTCTGACAGATGCTCAAAATATGTCAAGCTCTGGTTGATGGATGTTTGTGCGGCTATCATAATTGTCAGCAGAGGTACTCAGTGGAATCTTAGTGTACTTACTGTATGCATGTCCGTGCGATTTGACGGCAAAACACAAAACTCTGAAACAATGATTCCGTATGGCATTGTTCTTGACCCTTGCCTCATTCTCAAGGATGTGGTATACCGGCTTTGTGAACAGACCGATGAACGTGTCTCGCTCTGATGTAGTGACAAATATACGGCCCAACTTGAGTCTAAGCACCTTGCTCATCCGGTCCAATGCTGTCTCTAATTGGGCAGAGGCATCCCAGGCGCTCTCTTTGCCTCCGCCGGTTTTCGTCTTTGTAGTCTTACCCCGCCCCCGCGCTGCTGGGGCAGAGGCGGATTTCTCTAGTGCTCTTGTTTCGACTGCGGAGATGGTCCAGCGAAGAAGAAAGCCATACATTTCGAGCAAATTTTTATGGTGAGGTATCGCATCCTGCTCTTCAGCCTCAAGGTCTGCGTGGATTATGTCGGCTTGAGTAGACAATGCGGAGGATATGAGGTCGAGAATCTTGCTGAGAATTGCGGGAGGAATCTGTGATGAGTGCCTAGAGAGCCGGAACAGTTTATGATTAGGTTCTGTGTCATATGTTTTTACGTGCTTTGGATATGCGGGAACGCACTTCAGCAGAAACTGCAGAGTATCAAAAACAGAGCTGCGAGTAATCGCATCTGGGCTCTCTGCCACGGCATCAACCACAGGATTCAGCTCGCTGTTGATCAATCCGGGCGACGACAGCGCTTCTGGCTCATCTTCGCAGTCTTGTAGCGCTTGCGGGGCCTCGGGCGTGGGGATCGTCGAAGGGTCGCTGTCGAACAGCTTGACCGCCTCATTGATGTCGAATTCCACGCGCGCATCCATAATGGTCAGAATCGCTTGCGGAATCAAAAGACAAGAAGGCCAAAACAAAAAGAAGCGACGAAAGGGTCGTCGAGGGTGGGGTTATTTGCTAAGGTGAAAGGGACAAATGCGGGCCGTCGTCTCACTTGGCGGGAAAGCGCGTTGCATGTGTTTATTGGCCCGTGCGCGTTGTCATCATGCTTCCCCTTCCGGCCTAGTAATCGTCCAGGGTTCAATCGCGGAACGCGTCTCCCAAACGCTGTGCAGAGATTCGTGCATCATTCTGCACCCCATAAGAAGGCCACTCACAGACTTACCCTCCTCCCATGGCAAAGGCGCGCACTTCACTGCGGAATGCAGAGGCCATTGACGTCCACGAAGACTCTATAAAGGCAGAAGAGTCTGAAGAGACTATGGACGAAAGCATGGATCCGCTCGACGAGAGTGGGCAAACAGTCGACAGCAGCGACGAGGAAGTCGAGGATTCCGTCCAAGAAGATATGGCGCGCTTCGAAGAGACATTTGTCGGTATCAGCAAGCGCTTTCGACTGATCAACCGCATTGGAGAGGGTATGTCCCCCATCGTTGGCTTGCAGTCATGCAGGGTACCGGGGGTCGCTCACACTTCGTCACAGGAACCTTTTCTACTGTCTACAAAGCCGAAGATCTCGAGTACGAAAAATATAACAACGACTGGGACATTGACGAACGAGAAAAGAACAAGAGCATGTCCCCTTTGCGCAGGAAGCAGTCCGCCCGCCGCCCCCACTATGTGGCCATCAAGAAGATCTACGTTACCAGCAGTCCGATACGCATCTTCAATGAGCTCGAGCTTCTCTACGACCTGAGAGATTCAGACTCAGTGTGCCCCCTCATCACTGCTTTCCGTCATTTGGATCAGGTGGCTGCTGTGCTACCTTACTTTCAGCATCGCGACTTTCGAGATTACTACCGCGACATGAAGATTTCCGATATGCGCTTCTATTTTCGAAGTTTGTTCACTGCCCTTGCAGCAGTACACAAGAAAGGTATTATTCACCGTGATGTTAAGCCTACCAACTTCCTCTACAACACATCGCAATCGCGTGGTGTCTTGGTCGATTTTGGCCTTGCGGAACGAGAAGGCACAGATTGGCACAACTGTGCCTGCCACTTGAACGAAGAGGATCGTCGCTACAGGGTATCCCACAGCGTCTACGCCCAGACACAATCAGCAGGTCACAACGCTTCCGCCTATCCCAAGAACGACACTCGCAACAGCAGACGCGCCAACCGAGCAGGCACTCGTGGCTTCCGTGCCCCTGAAGTGCTTCTAAAATGCACTCAGCAGACCTGTTCTATCGATGTATGGAGTGTGGGAGTCATACTTTTGACTATGCTCTCGCATCGCTTTCCCTTCTTTCACAGCGCAGACGACATTGATGCACTACTCGAGATCACCACTATATTTGGAAGAAAGAAAATGCGGGAGACAGCACTCCTACATGGCCAAGTCTTTGAGACGAACATACCTAGCTACAGTGAAGGCGGTCATAGCCTAGAGAAGATTATCCTTTGGTGCACAGGCCGGACAGGCGACAAGACCCAGCCCAAGAAGGAGCTTGAGGAAGAAGAGAAGGAAGCCGTACAGTTCTTGTACCGCCTTTTGGAGTGCAACCCAGCAAAGCGAATCACCGCCGCTGAGGCTTTGGAACATCCCTTCCTTGCCAAGGTTGAGGAAGAAAGCGAGGCGGAGCAGAAGGAAGCGGCTGATTTCGCCGAAGAACAAGAATAGCCACAGCGTTGGCACATCGACGAGAGCACGAGAAAAAGTAGCATCAACGGCGTACGATTTGGGTGGCAGCATAGTACAGGAGTTCTTTTTTGTTTGGCCATTTATGGAAAATCGGCTATGGGACGAGTCATTACGATACCCTCCTGTACTGCACAGAATCACGCATAAAACATTATTCTGAATAATAGACATGAGAATTACACACATCTTTAGTATTTTCTCAGTTGTTTGTTCTGACGCTTTCAAGACGTGATGGCATATCACCTGACCGCACCGTGGAGATTATCACGATCTGACATGGACGCCCGATGGTCTGCTACCATGCGACCTGTGTTAAGAAGAGATCCTTTCTTGTTACTTTGAACAGCAACCAGTCTATTTGCCTGTCTCCTATATAAATAGCTACGTAGCCTAGAGTTCAGTTCTCTATTGAATACAACATCGTTACCTGGCGTTACCGAAGTATAGCTCTTTAAGCATAAGCCTTTGCAACATGTTTGTATTTACTTTTTTTTCTTATTCGATGTTTCGTTGTAGTAACTAGTTGTACTATCCAAACAATACTAAGCCACTGTAGTAGAGAGCCCATTGTTATATGAAATTGAATTGCATAACTACGATATCGCGTGGGATAAGGTTTATTGCATCGGCTTTAATACCCATAGTCAGCCCACCCGTCTCCGATGAGCAAGGATAGCACGCTCACGATAGTATGAATGCCCGAATACGAGCCTAGATTTTTCCGGCACAAGTCGTCTTGACCGCCTACTTAAATTAAGCAATGTAGGTTTTGCAAAGATCTCTGAGTCTCACTCACCAACACAAAAGAACCTCAGCAGAGCGGGCGAAGGTTCCTCTCAACCACAAGCCAGCTGTTTGTACTTCTCTGGTACGCACAAGAAAGCATGGCATCGATTAGTCCCAACCAGATTCTGTGGCTTTTTGTCACCGGACTTACATTCTCTTGCGCCTCCCTAGCACAGCGCGGCCATGTCTTGCATGGAGAACGCCGCACTTTGCCCTCCGGATGGCACAAAGGCGATCGCCTGGAAACGGGCATCATTCATTCTGTCCGGATTGCACTTGCACAGAACGGGTTGGAGAAAGGCGAAGAGCTCCTAATGGCCGTGTCAGACCCAGACTCGCCACGTTACGGCCAGCACTGGACACAAGAAGAAGTCCATAGCTTCTTTAGCCCAAGCGACGAATCCGTTACGACGGTCCAGCAGTGGCTCGAAGAATCCCTTCCCGCTGCCGATCTTGCACACCCCATCACGCAGTCGAGAAACAAAGGCTGGATCGAATTCTCAGCAACAATACAGCAATTGGAAAACTTACTCGGGACCGAATTCCACAACTATCATCATGATTCCGGGCGTAAGGTAGTAGCGACAGAAGCATACTACGTGCCCGCAAGCATTGTAGAACATGTCGATTTCATATGGCCTGGAATCCTCCTGTCTCACCAAATGGAAGAAGATGCGGCCGGAAACACCTTGTTGCAAAAAAGAGGCATTCCCGCCGCGCATCCAGTCAAGCAACAAGGTGCCCCAGTACCACTTCAACTGCAATCAAATCTCGAAAGTAGTAGTACCGTAGCATGCAGCAACAACCACACCGCATTAGAACCAGCGTGTATTCGAGAACTCTACGGTGTCCCGCAAGGTCCTGCGCTGTCGAATCCCAACTATACACACGCCATCTACAACAGTGGAAATGAAAAGTACAAGCAACAAGATCTCGACGTCTTTTGGTCGGCTTTTGCGCCCGAAGTGCCAAAGGGCACTGTGCCCCATCAAATTCTCATCGACGGTGCAGCCGACACACGGACTAACCAAACATCTTCCGGTGAACTCCAAGTCGATCTCGCCCTGACTGTGCCGCTGGTAGCTCCAAACACAGTCACGATTATCAGTCCCGATGATGCCGTTGTCCAGGGTGATCCGACCTTGACGGGCAGCCTCAATGGTATGCTGGAAGCTTTTGACGGTAAGTAAAAGAAGTGAACGCTCGCTTGCTACAATTTTTGAGAATAATCGATGGGTAACGGACTGACTAAGGAAAATTTGGTTTTTGTGTATAGAGTCGTACTGCACGTATAGCGCTTACAACGTCACTGGACCTCAACCAGGCGTTGATGGGCAATACCCGAATCCAGCTCCAGGCGGATACAAGGGCGAGAGGCAATGTGGAGGCGTGAAGCCGCCAGATGTGCTTGTTAGCGCTTGGGGAGGAACAGAAGATACCTATCCCATGTAAGTTGATGATGATACTAGTACTACTACTGACACGAAGCCCCCTCTTTTTTTGCGCCTCTTTCTAACCTAGATTCCGAAATACTAGTTCTTATCTACGCAGACAATGCAACGAATTCATGAAACTCGCACTGCAAGGCACAACTGTCCTTGCCGCAACCGGCGATCGCGGCATCGCTGGTATCCTCCCCCAATGCTGGGGTCCCAACAAGGATCGCTGGACCGTCGTCGCACCAGCAAATTGTCCGTATGTAACCGCCGTTGGCGCAACAATGCTCAAAGACGGCCTCGATATTCGGAAGCCCAACGGCGAAAACCCAGAGCAAGGCTTTCACTGGAGCGGCGGTGGGGTTTCCGCCATCCATCCACGCCCAGAGTGGCAGAATGATGTCGTTAGTAATTACCTCCAAACGGCATCAATCAACGCGCCCGGCTTCACAGGGTTAGCACCGCTGGTTGCGAACACGACTTCACTCCCCGACATCCTCCCTGATTTCGGTAAAAACGGTATCCGCAGCCTGTCTGGACGCGCGGTTCCTGACATTTCCGCCATCGGTACTCTTTCATCCAACTTTCTCATCGACAAAGGACTCGTCTGGCAAGCAGGCGGGACCTCTGTGTCTGTACAATACGTTGGCGCACTCATCACGCGCATTAATCTCGAGCGGTTAGCTGTGGGCAAACCGGTCGTGGGGTTCATCAATCCTGTGCTGTATAAATATGCAGATCGGATTGTTCGAGATATTACCCAAGGGGAGAGCAACAAAAATTGTAATGCTACTGGCTATCCGACGACTGTTGGATGGGATGCTGTTACTGGTCTTGGGGTATTGAAGTACAAGGAGGCTCTTGAACTTTGGCTTAGTATCTAGTGTCCGAGGCTTTTGTGTAAATATAGCGTAAAGGTATATGTGAAGAAAAGTTCAGTATCAAAACCCAATTCCTATTCGAATACCTGAGCCATATCGTAGTGAGGAAGTTTTTCTTGAATTCCACACTCCTTTTTTTTGAACTACTGCATTCTTCTAGAAACAAGTTATAGTCATTTAAACATTTGAAAGAAATCACCTCCTTCACCACGACGGTTTGCTAGACACTAGTCAGGATTGATCACACAATGGAAATTGGAACAAAGAAGGAATCTAAAACGTAAGAATCTATTGAAACTATCAAATCTGGCACCATTTACTCCAGGCAAATGCAATGCTAAAAAAGAGTCAAGTCATTAAACTTTTTTCCCCCAAGTAATCCGGCATGAACTCATTCTTTCTCAACGCCGAGAGGGCGGACAGCAAAAAAGGAAATGCAGCATGATAAGCCATCCAACTTTGAAAATTATCAGACCAATGTGTGTCTAAGGATCCACGTTGTACTTGAGTCTGATGCCCATACTGGACAGTTCAACGTCAAGATACTTGAGGACACCAGGCACAGCCACGATCGCGACATCTTCGCCACCGGAGTAGCGCAAGCCCTGAGCGTCCATCCAAACGTCGTTATCGTTGCTATCAGCAAGCTTGGCGCAACGTCTGCAACGAATAGTAACGTCCTTGCCATTTCTGTCCTTTTTGCGTCCATATTCGCTGACAGTAGGTGTGGTGCTGAGGAAGGAGCCACATGTTCTGCAAACGGCGGCTTTGGTGTAATCGGAACAGTTCATCAGTCGATCCTGGAGCAGGAAGGCTGTGCCGTGGGCCAACAGAGCATCACGCTCCATTTCTCCGACACGGATACCACCACCCTTCTTCCTACCCTTGATAGGCTGGCCCGTTAGTGCGTTTGACGGACCGTTGCTTCGGACTTGGAATTTGTCGTTGACCATGTGACGAAGACGTTGGTAGAATACTACTCCAATATAGATATCAGCGTAAAGTTCCTCGCCGGTGATTCCAGAGTACATTGGTTCGTTTCCATAGTAGTTGTAGCCTGCGGCTTTCAATTGGGCACCAAAGTAATCGACGGCCGTGTTCTGTTCATCGAATTTGAACGGCGTTGAATCCTGCGCCATGCCGTGGAGCGCTCCAGATTTTCCAGCCAGTGATTCGATAAACATGCCGATTGTCATACGGGACGGGAAAGCGTGGGGGTTGATGATAACATCTGGTTGTATGCCGGATTCGGAAAACGGCATGTCAGTGGTTGGGAACTTCTGAGACACGACACCCTTCTGACCGTGACGGGAAGAGAACTTGTCTCCGACAACGGGAGAACGCGGCGTTCGCAGCTTGACTGAGACCTTTTGGCAAGGCTGGGTACCGTCTTCTGAGCCAATGACGCGGACTTCCTCAACGAAAGCGATTTCGTCCTCCTTGTACTTGAGGAACTGAGTCTGTCCATCACGGTTCACGTAGTCGCCAGTAGCTGCATCATATGAGACAGTGTGGAAAGCTGCGATGGGATCGCCAGACCGCAACATGGTCCCGATACGAGGTAAGCCGTCAATATCAAGAGTCTCCTTAGACTCTGCTTTGATGAGACCCTCAGGCGCAAAGCCAAAAAGCTTGGCTATCGACTTATTCGATCGACTCTTGCGGTTTCCTTCCTCGAGATTTAAAATCTTGGTCTTGTAGACAGTACCGTGCCCAAACCCGCGCTCGTGTGATGACTTGTTCAGAATCATAGCATCGTCCATGTCGTAACCAGTATAAGAAATAACGGCCACAACGGCGTTCATTCCGTTGGGAAAGTTGTCCATTCCATACTCATTATACAATGGAGGTCTGGCAATAGGAGTCTGACCAGTTTGTAAGCGGTAGGTTTTGTTGTCTGTTCGGTATCTCATGGCAGTTCCTGGTGTACCCATCGATTGCTTTCCCATCTGACATTGGTACATGTTTCTTGGTGATTGGTTGAAATCGGAGAACGGAGTCTGGTTGGCGATGATGGAGAAGATGTTGGTCGGCTCAAATTCAACGTGAGTTGAGTCTCCCGATACAATCTCGGCGTCCGTAACAGAGATGGACATGTAGGGCTGCTCAAACGGACCAACATAATCCAGTTTGTTGAGAGGCAGGTACTTGACAGGTCGGTACATTCTCGAGCACTGCGAGAACATGTAGACTCCCGGATATTGACCGTTGTTTGAGTTTGGAATGTAACCAATCTCCATCTCGACCGGCACACCGTGCGAACCTTCAACCTTCCAGTAACGTAGCGTATCGCTGATAATTTTGGCTTGTTTTGGCGAACAGAAGCCCAGCACCCGACCGTCCAGCTGTACCACCACACTTGCATCAAGAGAAGCGGACGATTTGCTCGATACACCTAGCTCCGCAACAAGTTTGGGGACTGCTGAAACGTCTAGATTGGTTGTCGCAATCTTGCACGTGTGCGAAAAGTGGTTGAGAAGTCCACAAGGAGAACCATCAGGGGTATGGACGGGGCACATGAAGCCCCAAGATTCAGGAAGGAGTTTCCGAACCGTTGTTGTTTTGAGTGTCGCGAAAAAGGCACCTCTGTGCACCATTCTGAAATGGGAGATAAATCTATGTACAAGTCAGTGGTGCGCTAGTGGAAGAAAGGAGAGTGTAACTTGCCTTGGAAAGTTGAGCTTTTCAGCTACGACCACAAACCCGGAAGTCTGTTGTAGATCGAGCCCAGTCTATTGTCCTGGTCAGCGTATTACTTGTGTAAAGTTTCATCAAGAAAATACTTACCGGCGAAACGAGGTTACCGGTACTGAGAAAGTATTCCATAGCCTGACCGATAGCCAGTTGTGTCCGTCGCAATATCTTGGAAGACCAATCCTTGTGGAATTCTTGTGATGTAAAAGGCCGGTACTCTGTCCTCCTGCCCCATTCTCTCAAAACAATCTGGAAGCTGTTAAGCCATTCTTCTAGCCTCTCCTTCAGGATCATGCCGTACAATTGTCCACCTAGTAGGATTTCCTGATTCTGGACAGCGTCTGGGTTGTCAACGGCGCAGTCACCCTCGACCAAAGCATAGAGCTTTCTGGTCATGAAGAGAAGCATACGGAATTTGTCCGCATCTTGAGCAGGAGTGACGTTTACACAGCCCAGGTGGGGAAGGACGATTTTCCGAAGGAACTCAGTGCCGGCTTCCTCGTCCGTGACGTCTGCTGGTAGTTGCATAACGACCTTGAACTTTTCTCCCAGATATGCGCGAGTCTTTGCCTTGGAGTGTAGGCCATAGACCTTGTATGTCCGGAGCAGCAGTTCTACTCTGTCCGTTACAAACTGCTTTTGTTCGAGACCTTCAGAGCCCGCTGCGCCTACGAGGCCTTCGAATATTTCTCGATCATTCGTTTCGACCAAGGCTTTGAGGATCATGCAGATTGGGACGAGGTATTCCTGGGGAAAATATTAGCACAAAACTGAATAAATGACAAGGGACATGATGGTTCGTACAGCCTTGCGCCATGAGAAGCGGAAGTTGACGTTGCCGTCACTAAGATAATGTAGAGCGTTTGTTTGTGATGTTTGATCGGGTCGCATCGATCGGAGTTGGATACCAAACTGGGTGTAACCAGGACCGCGATTGGTGAAGGCGCCACGCTTAATGGCCATGGGGTAATTTCGGTGGTTGACCTGGAGCATACGGATGATTTTTTCATTTCCGTTGATGATGAAGTAGCCACCAAGCTCGTCGCTCTCCTCTTTGGCCTTGACGAGAGCCGCTGGTGGGAGGCCCTCGAGATGGCAGCGATTGGACTTGAGCATAATGGGGATTGAGCCCAGATCGACAACCTCTTCCTGCCAATCGCCATTGTTGACCCTCCACTCTAATCGCGCGCGCATCTTGCCGCGGTATGTGGCGTGTCGTTCGCGAGTCTCTGCGGGAAGAATGTTGCGATTCTTGAGGGCGACCTTGTTGGTGGGCGGCAGGACAGGCTTGTCGAGGAAGACATCTTGTATGCGCAGGTGCAGCCTGTTGCGGGGGCCTGTCTCTTCGGGGGTGGCATATGGGTTGCCGTCAAGGAAAACCTTGGTGCCAATATCTCGTATGCCCTCGGCCAGCTGTCCGCCTGGAGCAAAGATGGCGTTGAACGAATTGATGTGGGGATCGACGGCGGCTGCGAGGGTCGGGTAGGCTGTCTTGTCCTTGGGCGGGTTGCGGAACAGATCGTGTCGCCTGAGAGTGTCGAACTGGGGCAATTAGGTTGCTGGTAGGCAAAGAGTATAGGCAAAGACCTACTTTTGTCGACCACTGCGGCTGTGGCTTGCTCGTTGCGCTTGCGGCAGGCGCCATGGTTTCCGCGAGTGGGGTGTACTCTGCGGTTGGGAAACAGTGAAGGAAAAGATGGCGCAGCTCACAGGGTCATAGACGAGCAAATTCGAGGGACAGCAGCAGGCAGAGCTGTGAGGGTGTGCACGGCAAGCTGCAAGGGCGATGGATGATGAAAGTTGCGATGCCAATCTCGAACTTTTTTCCTAGACTAGTCCGGTAGGCCACATCGGCAGACCCCTGTCTAGCGCCATGGGCCCAAAGTCACACGCCGCGGCGGCTCCATCACTGTGCTGCAGCGTGAACCACTCCTGGCTTTCGTTAGGGCGGCACAGCTTTGCTTCTCTACTTCCTCACAGCATTGCCTGGCACCTCTCTGCATCTCCAGTCGCGGTTGACCCGTCGTCATTCTGCGGTTGCTACTGCTAACTACCTGGCGATCACGCCTACTACATGCCCCGCAGCAAGGATCAAGGTTCCCAGGCTTCCTCCATCGCTCGTACATCACCAATCCTCCCAACCAGACTGCAACACCATCGAGTCAGTATCCCATCGCGACAACGACCATGGCGAACCTCTTCCGTCGCATCTATGACTGGCTGCTCCGCCTATTCTGGTACGCCTACCTGTCTGCTTTCTGTTCATCACCCACGTACGCCTGGCATGTCTCGTGCGCTATTTGATGCCTCTGATCTGCCCGGCTCTAGCAAATCCCCCAAAAGAAACGCAAAGTCACGGGCGGCGATGGCCTGAGATGGAAGACGCTGACTGCTCACATCATCTAGGGCGACTGAGATGGACATCACCATGATAGGATTGCAAAACGCTGGCAAGACGTCGCTGCTGAGGGTTCTGGCGGTGAGTCGCTTCCTGATGCGGAGAATGACGATGACATTCTGCCGTGCTTCATTCTGGTGGATGGCGAGCTGACTGATTGATGTCTAGGGCGGAGAGTTCACTGTTGAGTAAGTTAGAATTTGTCCCGAGGTGCGCAAGCATACGGCGACAATGTTTCACGACGATGGCGATGCTACTGCTTCGCGCAACCATGAGCGTCATGGTAGTGGGGTCCATGCGCTGACAATGGCCCTAGCTCCATCCCCACCGTTGGCTTCAACATGAAGCGTGTGCAGAAAGGCCATGTCACCTTGAAGTGGTAAGTTATTCTTCATCTCAGTCCTGGGTCACGCAGGTTCGGCTCTTGCAGCGCCATTCCCGTTTGAGCGAGGCTTGCGGGGTGGGGGGAACGAGAGCTAGACCAAGGCGCATCTGCTGACCATGGGCAACAGTTGGGACCTGGGAGGCCAGCCTAGGTTTCGTTCCATGTGGGAACGGTACTGCCGCGGGGTAAATGCTATCGTGTAGGTGTGGTTCGCATGTGATGGTCGGCTTGTGCTTATCGGGACAGGTTCATCGTCGACTCGGCTGACAAAGAGGCCTTGCCCGTTGCTGGCGAGGAGCTCAAGCTGCTGCTGGAAAAGCCGGCTCTGGAGGGAATCCCGCTCCTTGTCTTGGGCAACAAGTCGGACTTGCCTAACAAGCTTTCGGTGGATGAGCTGATTGAGGCGTTGGACCTCAAGTCAGTGTCGCACCGCGAAGTGAGCTGCTACGGCATCAGCGCAAAGGAAGAGACGAATCTGGACGCTGTGCTGCAGTGGCTGATTGCTCGGGCCAGCAAATGAGGTAGTATGTGTGTATGTGTGTGTTGTTTGTATTCAATCGGGCGGTAACGTGACCGACGGGGTCTTCTGGGCCACACGACGTTCGCAACGCATTCGGTTCGGGTTTGTGTTTTTTTATGGCAACTTTTTACGGCCGCCGACGTTGTTTGATTCTTACGAGTTACGGTCGTCAGCTTTCTACGATATCTTTAATGATTCTTACGACTTGATGGAAGAAAAGACGGGCAGATCGCTCTGCAGGCTAGCGATGGCCAATCCAGTTCCCCTAGCTCTCGACTCGTTTACGGCTTTTTTTTATATTACTATTGTTACGGCGACAGGCCAAGTTTGGTCATGCATGATTTTGACTGTTTTATATTGGAGCGACCATGTTGTGGGTGTTGAGAAGTGATGAGAAGGTGTGGGAGGGGGAGTCTGAAAGCGGGTTTGGACATGGTTTTGTTGCGCGTGCTTGATCCCTTGTGCGGCTCCATGGGGAGTGACCTGAGAGTGGCAGCGGTAGAATGGAATGTTGTAGTCTCTGGTGACTAGTCCGTGTGTTGAGTTTGCTCGTGACTCGAAAGCCTCGTGCGCCGGGGCGCGTGAACGCCAGGTTTTTGTTCTGACAGCGTGTGGAAATGGAACGGGGAATGAAGGGTGAAAGGCAATTGCGGGCGCGGGTATTGCAGCAGGTCCTGGGCTTTCTTTATTTTTTCTCTGCAGAGCGGGCGGTCCGGCGGGTTGTGGTTGTTTGAAACGGGCCAGTTTGACGGGAGAACGACTTGGGTGGCACGGGGAGGCGCAGAGACGGGCTTGGGCCTTGACGACTTGAGGGGCAGAGATGACAGCAAGGGCCGCAAGGAGAGAAGAGGATCAATGCACAAAGCGACGAGAAGCGACGGTGAGGGACAAACAACTATTATTTCGCACAATGCAGGCTGGCAGATTGGCGGGCCCCAGGCAAATCCATGCCAGCACCAGTTGAACAACTCATCCTGCATTAGCGTCTTGCGGCCAACGCTGCGCTCCGAGGCCCTCATTGGGCCGACACGTCGCGAGCGCTGCAACCCCCCGGACTGCCCAAGGGTCGTAGCCCACGGAACCGATGAGCTGGCGGGGCGAGGGACGTCTGGCGTGAACGGCTTTGGGGCATGCTGGTGGCGTGGGTGAAGGATTGTGGGGTTGCAACGGTATACTACTGTAAGTATCCAGATCCACACCTGTATGCAAACGTACAAACTACGTATCCTACATGTAAGTACACACATAGTAGGGATCTATAGTGATATGTAAATGTAGTATATGTAAGCCTCGACTGGTGGTAGCAACATGGGTCAGCTTACTTGTATTAGTAGGTGTAGGTACAATTGTACCATGTTCCCCTTCCCCCCTCATCCATCAATGCTTACAACATGACAAGTCAACCACAAGGCCAACGCCATCTCGTACAAAAGTCCATGTTTGAATCCAATCCACGGACAACTCAGCAGTGGCGCGCCACTGTCTCACACCACCAGCGTCCAGCTCCAACGCCTATTGCTCCTTTTCGGACTAGACCCGGCATACGTCCCGAGCGCAACAGACAGCATGATCCATGCGACTACTCTACAACGTACATACATGCCAACCTCAAACAGATGCATGCAATGGAGGAAACACGACCAAACAAGCTCCCCTTACTCTACTGTCCACGTATGTGTTTCGTTGTTTCACGCTGCTTCGTAAGCTGCAATACGGCAATGGCCACCGCCGTACATACGGCGCCGGTCCGGGGCGGTGGTGTGTTTGGTCAGATGACGTATGTATGTACTGTGGAAGCGGACGAGCTGGACCATTCCCGCAGGGCTGAGTACGTACTGGACGAAAAGGCCGCAGCGACGTTTCCACCAACATTTCCCCCCTCAATGCCCATCTAGAGGCTTCTCGTTGGCGCTAGCACCGTCCGGGCATAAATGCGCGCGCAATCGTAGTCGTGGTCGTCACCCATGCTGGCGCAGACGCCGTTGATGGTCTGCGCGGCCAAAGTCTTTCCACGTCGTGCCAAGCGGGGTTGCTCTCTTGGTGTGTGGCTGAGCGTCCGCCGGATCCTTGCCTGCTCCGGCTTATATGGTCATGCACTTCGTCATTCCTTCTACCTTGCGCCTCTCTCTTCTCTCACTCCCTCCATAGTACCGACAGATCCATAATTTGCTCCTGCTACAACAATGCATCTGCAGGCTAGACAGATCTACTGGGATGACGACAGGTAAGTTTGTGCGCCACTGATTTTCATGTTTCCAAGAGTGGCGGTGCGTTGCTACTGCACGACCTTGCCCGGCTATCGGCATCAGTGGCTAGGGTATGAGAACTCGCCTTGGGTCCTTTGCAACATACGACGTCACAACGTCATTCGAATCCGCTTCCATCGGCATCTTCTCATACTCTACCTCTGCCAATATCAAGCCAGCTTTTTGTTTTTGTACCCTGGTTTCCTCCAAGCTTCCAGCCCCAGTTCCACGCATCCTTCTTCACTACTACTACTACTCTTTTGCATTGCGACAACTTCTACACCGACAAACATCATTCTAACACACCATGGCTAGGTGTTATATCGACAGATATGGCTACAGGCGCTGCAGAAGCTCAGCCTGGAACAATTGGGTCCGATGGGTAGTCCTCGTCGTTGTCGTCGTCGGCTTCCTCCTGCTCTTTGTACTCTGCTCGTAAGTCCATTGCCAATCACCACATTCATTCTCAGGAAGCACGTACTAACACGCACTGACAGTTGCTTAACGGCGCGTCGTCGCCGCAAGGCTGGTCGCAAGCCCTTCTACGGAACAGGCTGGGCTGCTCGTCCTGGTCTCTACAACAACCAAAACAACAACCAGTACAACGCCCAGCCATACTACGCAAACCAACCCGCCCCGCCCTATGACGCCGCTACAAACAACAACAACAACAACGGTTACTACGGCGGCGGCGCAAACCAAAACTACTACGGTCAGCAAAACGGTGTCGAGCTTCAACAGCCCCAGCCTAGCTACGGCGGAGGCGGCTATGCACCACCACCAGGCCCTCCACCAGCCAAGGCTTAAGCATCTCGCGATAGCCGTACAAGACCAAAAACGATCAGAAACATGTCGACACAAACGAAGCCTTCACAACAACCTGGATGATGTGAACAATGACGACAAAAATGTGGCAAATTTGATTGGGCAAAAGGCCGGAGTACAAGGGGGGACTTCTCTGACTTTTTCTTTTTGTGTAATCACGCTTGATACCTCTTTTCCTTTTACTTATGCTTAAATGTCAACGTTTTTTCCCCCTCTTATAATGCCCATTAAGAAAAATAATACAAGTATTCATGTCGTAATTCAACTCTAGATTGTACCTTGAGCAATCCATGTGCGATTTCTCTTTCCCTTGCGCTTGAACCATGGAATTGTGATAAGTAGTTAGTCAATCTAAGAGAAAAAGAATGTTACTACGCAACTTGTTACCTTGTTCTCATGGCACATCAACTCTGACCTTCACATGATTTCAGCAGGGCAAACCTGCTTCCTTGTGCAACGTACAACACGTCTGCATACGTCACTTGGTTACCAAACAAAACCAAGCGCCCTCTCAACAGCATCAACAACACCAAACCAGTCCAAGCAAAATCAACCATCATCAAAAAAAAACATCAATTCAACATTATACTTCATATCACATTTTCTCAGTCCCTCTAGTACAAAGGCTCAGCAAGAGACAAAAAGAGGACAAAGACAAGAAAAAAGCCATTGAAACTTTCTCTCTCTTTCCTCCCTCTCATCTTCGCCAGCCCATATGCCCTTTTTTTCCCTCTCCCCTCCCACCACCTTTTATTCCCTTTCAATCCCCCACCCCGCTGACAAAGTGTCATGGAAAACGCTAAGCATACAAGTTTGTCATCCCATCAAGCACTACTACAAAACCCCCACCCACTTGCACTTCTCAACCAACAAGTCGTAGTCCACTGGCCGGTGCTCCAATCTGACTGATGCCATCAATCTTGCACACGGTACCTTTGTACCTAGCGTGGTACTTGGCTCCGCTGTACGGACTCGTCACCGACGGTTGTCCAGCGTAGATGGGCGTCAGACTAGCAGCGCAAATGTCAAAGTCGGCAAACTGGTCAAAGTCAATCTCAATCGCGTCGCTGGGATTCCTCTCGGCAATCGTCTTGACACGCTTGGCTGACTCCTTCATCTTGGCGTTGCCAGTGCGGTCAAGCAGGGCATTCGCAAAGTTGAGCGCAGTGTTCAGCTGCTTGTTCTTGTGCGCAAAGTTCATGGCCGCAGAAAGCGGAATGGACTTATGTGGGCCTTCAACCTCGGGAATGGTGAAGTAGGCTGACAGCTCGAGGACACGCTTCTTGTCCGCATCAGAGAGACCAGAGATGTCCGTAGCACCGTTGAGCAGCTTGCGGCGCTCCAGCTCAATGGTCATGGCCAGAATGTATTGGGTAGCAGTGTTGATCGCCTTCCTTGCCTAGAATAGTTGGTTAGTTGCAGGTTTAGTGTAGGGCACTTGAGAAAACTTACGTCAGAGAGCTCGGCTTGAGACGAGACAACGTTGACCATGATGAGCTGCAGTAGCTTCCTGAATGTCGCAATACCATCTTCCAGCTTGTTCTTGACCAAAGCTTGCTTGCCAGCAGTCAAGTCATTAGACAGTATAGATTCCAAATCTCGTGGAATAATCGGCAGGATTTTCCGCGAGTCCGTCTCGTCCACTGTCCTTCGCACGTAGTTGACCAATGATGGCATGTTGGGCGTAGCGGGCAAAAATGTCCGTGTCGCTTGGTAGATCTCTTGGAAGCGCTCCTCGAGAGGGGCAAAGTTGACTGCACCGACTTGACGGTTGAGTAGCTGCATGGCCGTGTCAAAGGAGCCTGCCGCGACGTGATCCGCTGCCAAAGGTGAGTTCCGTGCCCAGAGGTCGGCTTCGCTGCTTCCAGCACCGGCTTCAGCACCCTCAACCTCGACGAAATCGTCCTCGGCTTCAACCTCGGCATCGTCGCCCATGTCCCATCCGCCGATGTCATCTTCTTCGTCACCTCCAAGGTCGGCCGAAGCACCAGTGGGTTCTGCTTCGCCGAGCAGATCTTCATCACCATAGCCGTTGGCTGCAGGCTCCTCGGATCCAATGCCTTCAACCTCGCCTTGAAGAGCCTTCTCGAAGACAGTCGAAGAAGCTGCGCGCGTCGGCCAGTTTGCCTGGTAAGTCGGGACGATGGGCTTCACGGGTGCGAGAGGACTGCCTATCGAAGGCAACTTGATCTGGTCTTCCGAGACACCTGCAGCTTCCAAGATTGACTGTGCTTGTTCCTCGAGGCCTTGGGCTTTAGCGGTAGCATATGCCAGTGGGTACAGGTCGAGCTCCTGGAACATTTCTATCCGGTTCTGCACGTCACCCAAGTAGAGTGCGTTCTGGAATCGGGCAGTCATGTCTCCGCGATGCTCTGCAATCTTGGCCATGCGCTTCAGCTTGTCCTGGTCACCTGTTGTAAGGTAGAGGAACGACAGCTTATCAAAGTTCCGTAGTTCTGTTGCCCACTGTTTAGCGAGGTTCGTATCAAATGATCGAAGTACTTACTCTGATATGTCATTTCTACGGTTTGATGGTTGCCGTGTGCCAATGCTTCGTTGCTCAATCGCTGCCAGAGCTTGGGGCGATCAAGTTGCTTTGCCATCTCTACCGCAACCTCAAGGTTGCCGCATTCAATAGCAAGCTCGAATCGTGTCTGGGGATCCTGAACAAACTGAAGAGCAATTTCAGGATATCCCTTCTTTTGGAGGTAGGAGATGATGCTCTGTCCAACCAAGCTTGAAGTCTTGATAATGTTGAGCATCTCGTCGTAGTTTCGCTTTACAAGGGCAAGCTTGAATCGATACTCAGTAGGGTCAATCTGGAGGATCTTGGGTTTCGCGGCTCGGTCCAGGCAGTATACGTTGCGGCCCTTGACCCTGACGAGATATACGGTTTGTTCAAGAGTGCGGACAATTCCATTGTCGCCATTCATCAAACTGTACTTGATGTGGTTCAAGGTAGAGTAAAGCAGGACACCGGTATCGTCAAAGACTGCGCTCTTGATGCGGATCGTCTCATGCAGAGTGCTAACCTGCTCCAAGTTCTTTGTCGCAATTGTGACATTGTGCTTACTCAAGAGGGCCACATGCAGTCCATCCGATGACCAGACAACATACTTTACGCCATTAACGGACAGCTCAGCAAGGTTTTTCTTGGCCTGGATATCATAAAGAACAACAGAGGTAGGTGTAATCAAGAGCAAGTTGCCGGTTCCACCAAAGTAGATGTCAGTTGTTCCATGAGGAGGCTTGATGGTCTTGGTGGTGGAGTTGCTGAGGTCCTTGATATCAATCTGCTGGTTGGATTGGTTGAAGACTGCAAATCGGTTCCTAGCCACGAATACAGCAGAGTTTCCAGAGCCGCGCTTGGTGTCGGTGGGTTCTACTGCTCCTGAAGCGTCGCGTGGAAGGCTGATGAGCTCGTATGTTCCGCTGTCCGCTGGAGATGTGACCAGGATAGAGCGTTCGGCAGGGTTATAGGAAAGTGTTCGTGGAGGTACCCAGGCGCTTCCTAGCTTCTTGAGGGACAACATTGACGGCGACTCGAGGTTCTTTTGGAAATCGTACGAGCGTACATGCTTCTCCTTGGTGATGTAGAAGAGGTTGTTCTGGTACACGGCGGATGCGGGTCGCTCGCGCTCCAGCTTGAACACCATTACTCCATTGTCGTGACCAGCGGCGAACAGGTTGATTTCAGGGTGTGCTGCAATCACCCAGAAGCGGTCATTCTCCCTCTTGAAAGATTGGACCGATGTTCGCCTGTTGAGATCCCATACGCGGATTGTCTTGTCCTCGCCAACCGAGAGTATCAAGTCCTGGTGGGGGTGGAACAAACACGCAGATGCATTCTGGAAATGTCCCCGGCAAGTGTCCACCTCCCACGCCTTTGTTTCTGACATCCTCCACAACTTGACGAGGCGATCGTCACCCGCGGAAACAATCAATGGCAATGTGGGGTGGAATGCGACCCAGTTCACACCTCGGTCGTGGCCTTCGAGGACGAACTTGACAACGGCATCTGTGTTGCCGAACATGTCTGCTTGGTTCTGGTTGGCGCGTGCCATTTGGTCCTCAAAGGACATGGCCTGTGGTGCCGAATGCTTCTTTCTCAATCCTGAAATGTCCCAAACACGAACCGACTGGTCAAGCGAGGCGGAGACAATCAAATCTTCCTTGGGGTGGAACTGCGCACACATGGTGTAATGGTTGTGGCCGGTCATAGTGCAGACTTGGGCGGGGTTAGATTAGACGGTTGCGGGGACTCGAGATGAACTTACTCAGTGAACCTGGACATGTTAGCAGTGGTTTGCAGAAGGGGCTGGAGAGACTTACGATTTTGCCAATTCCATATACGGATGGTCTCTGGTGTGTGTTAGTGAGCATGTCGGGTGACGGTGACATGCGCTTACGGTCGTCGGAGCTACTCAATATCCATGGCAGCTCGTGGTGGAAGAAGACGGTTCGGACATAGTCCAAGTGGCCGTTCAATGTGAAGAGACAACGCCGCGTCTGGTACGACCAGACCTTGATCTTGTAATCATCACCGCCCGAGACAAACCTGCGCGTCTCAGTATATGGCTATGGAAATGGCCAGGTGGTGCTAAATGCTCACAATGGCTGCGTCTTGTGGAAGTCAACGCCGCGGACCGGCCCGTCGTGTTCTTCGAAACGGTCGATGAGGGTTCCCATGCGGTAGTCCCATAGCTGGATAGTCGACGAGTGCAGCGATACGAGGATCCATGGCCTTTTGGGGCGGTCAGCAGAGAACAATTGGGCCAAATAGTGGCGGGCGCAGGTACCTTTTTGGGTGAAAGGCAATGCCCTTTGCACGCGAGGACTTTGACTCGAACTGATGCGGGTCAGCTGGCGTGTTCGCATACAAGAAGCGCAGAGCTGTCTACCTTTGTCAACATGGAAGGAGACGACGACATGGCGGGATTGAGGACGAAGCCGCCGCTTCACTGTGTGGGCCACGTAGGAGT